TTATAAGGAGTTCCTTAAACTTCAGGAAAAGAACAAGCAACTGAAAAGGATATGTGAAGACCAAGAAGCTGCTCTCCAAGAACTGGCATCCAAGCTGAGCGAGTAATTCCATTATTCGTGATGACTTATTATTGTCAGATAAACTCGAATTAAGATCAATAATCAGATGGTGCTCAAGTGTATTAGACTGTCTGTGACAATAATATTGTTATTTTGGTAACTAACCAGTTCGGAGAAGTGAATATGTCTAGTTAGGTCAGGTCTGTTAATTTTTAATTTTGGCAGCTCTGGAATGTCCCTGTGGTCAGCTGGGATCCCTGTCCCTGCTGTGTGCCCTCCAAACTTCCCATCACCCTCAGTCTCCTCCCCAGTGTGGCAGGACAGGGAGCAGGAAAGGCCTTGGGACTGTGTGTGCTCTGCTCAGCAATAACAAAAACATCTCCATTACCAACCTGTGTTCAGCACAGATCCCAAGCACAGCCCCTCCCAGGCACTGTGAAGGCAATTCTCTGTCCCCAGCCCAAAGCAGCCCAGTGCCAGTGTGCAGAGGCTAAAAGGGGACGTGGGTGCCCTCTGGAATAGCTGGGGGTGTGTATCCCATGGCTCAGGGTGGGTGGGCTGGCACTGTGTGGCTGTGGGGAGGCTGCTCTCTCCATGCTGACACAGGGTGGGCTTGTGCTCTTCTTCAGAGGACTTGGCTTGGAATTTTTTGAGGTTGAAACCAACTTTTTAAATTGTTAGACCATGACTGACCATGTAGAAGTTTGAAACAGCATTATCTTATTCTTTAGATCAAAGCTGAAAATAGAAGATATAAAAGAAGCCAACAAAGCATTGCAGGTCAGTAGTACTTTGAGGAAAGAAAATTTTTTTTTTTAATTGTTCCTTTTGAAATCTTTAGTACCTCAAGCATGTTCTCTTTGCACCTACACTTGCTCTGTCTTGTCTCCTTTTGGTTTTGGGGTGTTTTGGAGCAGTCCTGTGCTGCTGTAGAGTGTCTTTGTGACATCATACTGGTCCCAGGGCACTGAGCAATTCAGGCAGTGAATGTTCTGCTCTTGATTTGTCTTGTCCCCTGAAGCCCAAAATTTAACTTCATTAGGTACATACAATTATGGTAATTTTTCCTCCAGGGCCAGGTTTGGTTGAAGGACAAAGAGGCCACACATTGCAAGTTATGTGAAAAGGAATTTTCGCTTTCCAAAAGGAAGGTAAAACTTTTAATAAAATTTCTTCCAACGTGTTTGTAACTATTATGAGGAAAAAAAAGTTAATTATCTTAGAGGTGTGCCATGAAGTGTAAATGCTCAGGTGAATGCAGAGTTATTGTTGAGGTGTCTTTCTAGTTCTTTGATACATACGATGCAGCTGGGCCCTAATTTCAAAAGAAACGGTGTCTTTTGGTTAAGTGCCACAAAGGAATATTTTAAAACTTTAAAATTATTTAAGTACTTTGTGGAATCCTCATCTCAAACACATGTCAGCTCTGGCACTGTTACAATTTGACGTGTGGAAGTCTTTTTATGACATCTTTTTATACAGTGGAGTTAGAAAATGTGAGTTTATTGTCATTTTAAAGTAAAATGTAATGGTAATTTCCATGCTTTAATAATGTATGCAGGAATTTTCATCTTACCTTTTTATGTTAAATCTCAATTTTCTACCTGACAGAAGCATCCACTGTTTGGAATATCATTGCTCAGGCTGTATTTTTATACTGCAGAATATGTGCTTAATCCAGAGTTTGAGTGCACTCTGCAAAGCATATATATATAAATAAAAAAGTAATAAGGCCCTAGAAGTAATAAATATATAAGGACCTAGACCACTGTGGTGCAATCCTAGATAAACATGATCTGTGTAGGATTGCATCATAATTTGGGAGGTGGGTGAATTCCCTTTCGAAAGCTGGTTCCGTGCTCAGCCCCAAGGAGTGAAAGGGGCCACATTTTGGATTGCTCTGTGTATATTGTTTATTTTTCCCAATTGCTGAGTACATTTCCACTGTAAATTTAACCTTTTAATCTTCTCCCCACTGTTTAGCATCACTGTAGAAACTGTGGTGAGATCTTCTGCAATGCCTGTTCTGACAATGAGCTGCCTCTGCCCTCCTCACCAAGGCCTGTCCGGGTCTGTGACTCCTGCCACGCAATGCTCATACAGAGGTGCTCCTCTAACGTGCCCTAAGGTTGTGTCACTAGATATTTATTAGTTCTGCTGTTCAGCCATTCCTGTAGAAAACCCAACGCCACCTAAAGAATGTACAGCAGTATGTCCAGGCTTCCAGGTAAGCAGTGGAGAGTTGCAGTTTTGAGGTGCACTGGAGGAGTCACTTCTCTGCTTCCTCTTGAAACCAACAGAGAAAATGGGACCCAAATGTAAAAAATGCACATGTGGAAAATAAACCCCAAATAGATGAGGTTGTTGGTCTAACAAATGGCTCAGCATCTCCTTTGGAGGAGGCAGGGCAGCTTATAGAGGAGATTCAGTGTTAACATTTGGTGGGTATTTTAGTTGCTGAGATGCTCTTCAAAAAGGTGATGCACCTCCCTGCTTTTACAGGCTAGTCTGCCACAAGTCCAACCTGATTCCTCCCCTCAGTGTGCCTGTGATACGTTGTTGTGTAGCTAAACCGTGCAGTAGCTCGTTCTCAATTGTTTTTTAAAAAAGTATGGCCATTAATGCAGTGCTCTGATAAGTTCTTGCCAAATACCATATTTGTTTACTTCCTCTTAATTACCAGGACTTGATGCATCCAGGAGTATTGCACTGACAGCTCTGCTCTGGGGAGTCACAGGTGGAAGGGGAGATTTTGTCAGGGAACAAGCAGTGCCTCGGGCACTTGCAGAAGGAAGGTGTGTTTTGGTGAATGATTTTTGCAAATGAACTGTGAATATGATGTATCTGTGTTTCCATCAAAAGAGAGCTGTCCATCACAAACCTTTTGCCTGACACTGTAACTCTGAATGCACCTCTTTGCATTATTTTCGTGCAAGTCATGCTCTCAGGCTGTCCGTGTAGTCAGTGTGTAGCTCTAGAAACCACCAGGACAGCCTGGGATTAAATACCAGGGACCACATCCTTTCTGTGTTGCACAGGAAGGTTCTTAGTTTGTCACCATCTCCCTCAAACTTGCAGAGTTTGTTCCTAAACTTCATTTTTTTCCAGAGCACCTTTGAGCCCCCCCACTGTTGGCACTGACGAGCCCTCAGCAGAATTACCAGCCCGGGAGCTCCTTCAGCTGTGGGCTTGGACTATTCCTACCAACAGGAAAAGGGAGGCTTGGGAACAAGTCTTCTAGTTGTCCTTGCACTTTGTTTAGCTTAGCTTTGTCTCTGGGGATAGGGATTTAGTTAATGTCCTAAAATCCAACATAGCTGTTCTTTTCAACACTCAATGTAGTTGCTTATGTAGCTTTTGTAAAGAAAAATGGTTCTGAAATGACCTGATGTAACTTTTTGTAAAATACCAAACAAATACTTGTAAATGTGTAAATAACTTTTGGAAAAAAAATAAATTTAATTGATCTGCAACTTAACTAAGGGAATAATGTCACTTTATTTAAATTTGTAATTGAGAGAATTGTATTTTATTTTATTATGACTTGTTCACGATGCTTAGAAAACTTGCCTGTGCTGGGGAGTGGGGAGCTACCCTGCTAAAGACACAGTCAAGTGCTGCTCATGTGCCTCCTGAGAGTATTCCCAGTGTTTTCCAGTGGGCACTGGAGGCAGCAGGGGCTGATGTAGGACATAGATGATGCTAATCTGTACTGCTTTAATAAGTAACTTCTCCAAAAGTATGCAACTGAACAGAAGTAATTTTAAAACAGGCAACTTTTTAAAGTGGATTTCCATAAGATACAATAAATTACATTTGTTACTTAACTGCCATCTTTTCCTCTCCTCTGTGCTACCCTCTTTGCAGGGGGAAGAGCGTGCAATTACTCAGATTGTTTTTACTGTCTGCAAGTAACATTTTTCCTTGAACAAACTGGTGAATGCTGACGTTCCCTTGCATTCAAACTACATACCTGGCCAGCTTTTAAGGGTTTTGGACCACACTATGACTAATGCTGTATCTTTATTGATTCTAAATCTTCCTCACAGAGCACAGGAAGAGCTGTGGGGTACCAAGAGGGCCTGTAACAGGATCAGAGGAGCCTTTTATTCCTCCTGGGAAATGAACTCTGCCTTCCTGCACTGGAGTGTCAGCAGGTACACAGAGAAAATATGCTCCTCCTCCTGCTTCTGCTGCTCCCCTCCCATGCACAGGGACAAAAGGGGGGTCACTTACCGTGTCAGCCCCTGCTGCTTGGAAGGGAAGGGATTCCTGGCACCAGCAGCCGAGCACTGCAGCTCCCGGGGCTGGAACACACCTGTACACAGCCATGAACCCTACAGCTGCCTGGGCAAGCCTTACTCACAGCTTTTCATCCCCACCAGTCCTCTGCCATTTAAATGCTGCTGGTGAGGTGGAAGGTTGAATGCTGCTCTCGTTCCAGGTGAAGGGACGGGACAGGCCCGGGGGATTCACTGTCCAGCTCTGTGGGACTGATGCCAGAGTGCTCCTTGCAGATGGCCTGGTTGGAAAAACAGCTCAAAGCAGAGCCCCACCCTGCTCTCCAAAGGTGAGTCTTAGCAGGTGTCAGGTGTCCCGAGGTACAGAGCTGGCAGGTTTTAAGCCCCCTGCTGTGCCCAGAAAAAATAGGCTTCCTTCAAGCTCTCTCCAGTAACATGGTTTTCCTGCAGCTGGATTAACTCTTGTCCTGACCACTACCATTTAGGAACACCTCAGTGTTCTCAGCAGGAGACCAAGAACCCCCTAGGTCTTAAGAGCACAGAGTTCCAATGGTTACAAACTCCTCTTCCCTCCCCTTCCTGGCCAAAACTATTCCAGTGCTTGGAAAGCTTCCTGTGCCAGTTACCCTTTCCAGCTCTTTCTTCCAGTCCCTTTGATCCCCAAACACATTCTCTAGTGAAATAAACTCCATTCTCCTCTCTCCCACAAGAAGACATTTATTACAGATATAACACAGTACTAGCAAAACAGGTGACAGACTTGCAATACCCAAGATCACATTTGACATTTTAAGGGAGGCATTGAGGACAAAGCAGTTAATTTGGGAGATCACACTGGCTCAGAAGAATAAATACCTTTTTCCATTACACATCAGGTATGTTAAGTGTCTTCAAACAATAGTTTCTTACATATCTTACATGTCACAAATGCACAGAAAGTTTTATTGATGTGTTTGGGTTGTGTGTTACTGAGTAAATATTGGGCCTACAGATATTTTAGAGATCTTGGCTTCTAAGGAGCTCATCTGTAGAACAGCTTGGCAAATTTTGAGCAAATACAGACAAATCAGCTCTGAGCAGCAAAAAAAAAGCTGAACCGTGTCTAAGTACAATAAATTCAAGAAAGATAAGAAGTCTAACTTGCTTCCAACTCCCCCACTCTCGCTGAAAGCATGTTAGTGAAAAAAATACTAAGTAAAAAGCTTCCAAGTGCTTGACCTATGTCATGTTAACTAAAAGCTGTGCTAGTGTTTCAGTCTGCTTTGCAGGTTACATGTGTGAAGTGCAGGCTCTGGGGCTACAGCAAAGCATGGAAATAAACGTGGTGCTTGGTTCTGTGGAGGAGAAAGCAGAGGTACTGCTCGTTCACACAGGTGTGGAGCTGGTGCTGGTGGATGTGGCAGCAGAAGGAAGGCAGGCAGAACAATGACTTCCAGCCTCCACAGCTTCACGCTGTGGTGCAATTACTACATACAACTTATCAAAAGGGTTTAGGAAAGGCTTTAACCAAATAAACTAATCAATTCATCTATCTTTTTCCCCTTAAACAAGTGAATGTTTCAAATTTGTTCACTAGACCAAGATTACACAGAACTCAATCAGTGTTCATAGGAGTTACAGTACAACCACCTTTATGGAACCATAGTACAACAACTTAAACCGACTGGTAGTCTTGAATATGTAATACATCCTTAGGAGTAACTAGTATAAAAAGTATCAACATCAGTGGTTTGAATATAAAAATTTATTTAAAGTCAGAGTATGCAACAAATAAAACCTACAGAAAACAGATTTTCCCATCACAATCTGTTGCTTACCAAATAATATTGTGAAAACACATTCCTTCAGTCATTATAAAGTTCTTAAAATACAAAAGAAATTAAATTTTGTAAGAAAGTCTAGTAGACCAGAGACTGTTTCTTCCAGGGTGTTTTGCAGAAGGCTATCCTTCAATACATCCCACGCCATCCTCCTCCACCCATACTGCCTTGCCCATAGTATCCTCCACTATTTCCACTGCCACGACCTGCAAACAATTGACACAAGGTCATGCATACATACCTTGAAAAAAGAAAAAAATGGGATGGGTAATACAGCAGATGACAACTTCCACTAATGCTACTCCAGCACCACTCCCTTAACCAGCAGCTGATGCAGCAGCACAGTGTGTGAAGCCCCGAGTGCTTCACAGTTTAAATGATTTACTGCCCTCCTTCCTTTCTCCCAGCCCAAAGCCCACCCCCCTTCCCCCGGGTCTGCCAGCAGACAGACAGGAGCCACCCTGTCCCAGCAAAGAGGGGGAACAGAGCTCACTTACTGTATCCGCCCAAGCCGTCGGGAGTTCCGTATCCGCCGCTGTAATTGCTGCCCATCCCCATCCTACCAACGGAGCCGTAACCTTGATCTGCGGAGCCAAAAGGGCACCATTACAAGCTTGGAACTCATGAGACCTGGCAAAACATCAGCTAAGAGTGCAATCCACACGTACCCATTCCATCTCTGCCGTAGCCTCCCATTCCAGAGCCACCTCCAGCAGTGGAATTCAGGAACAGTTCAATGTATCGATGCTCTGCAGGAAGCAAGAAAGCTTTACTTTGTATTTTGTTTCACCAAGCAGACTCAGAGGCACAAAGCAAACATCCCTCCACACAAGCAGCAGAGAGAACAGCACAAGAAGGCGGGTTTGCCACGTGCCAATGGGCAGGAGCTCAGGCTGAACCCTGGATGCCCTGTGGAGCCCTGCCCACGGGTGCCAGGGAACACGACACTCACGCATGTGGTTCTTATCCTTAGACATGGCAGCTACTGCGTCCTCGTGTGTCACAAACTCCACATCTGCCTCTCCTGTAGCTCTTCCATCTGCCCCAATATCAATGTGAACTCTTATAGGGTTCAACGGCGAGAAAAACTAAGAATAAAACAAATCAAAAAAATCACATTAACGTAGAAGTCAAGTCAGGTACTTTTTTCCATCGCTGTGGTTAGTGGAGCACTGCATCAATTAATGTCGTCCTACCACATTAAATTTAATTACTCATTTCCCAATTAGAGGGATAGGGGACCTTTAACATTGGGTCAACCTACACTGACGATCCATTATTACTACACAGCCTCAAGAGCTGCAGTGACAGAGCTTGAGGAGCTTTCTTTGAAAGCAAATATACAAACAACTCCTGCCCACACACACTGCTCTGAGCAATACAATCTTACATGATGCCATCCTGGACAAGAAAAAATCCTGGTTTTTATTTGTCTCTGCTTCTTCAGATTTCTCAAAGCAAGGACACATCCATGGAATTCAAAAAAAGCTACACATTCATCAGACTGCTCTTCCTCACTGCTCCCAATCAAAGCCTGATGTTTGGCCCTTGTCTCACACAATCGTTAGACTAAACAAAACAATCAAACTGACACAAGAAAAGCATCTCAATTCAAACCAACTGACCCACCCGAAAAAGAAAACAAGCACAAGTTTAAGAATGGAGTTCTTACATATAAATATATATAAGCCTTGTATCCCGACAAAGCTTTTCCCCCTACAAACCCCACATTATGACACAAGAATACATTCCCAAAATCTGCAGATGAAAGAGATCAGGGTGGCAGATAAAAGCTCAAGTAATGGGATACCATCCCCTCCAAACACAGCTCCCTACAGTCTTCACACCCTGCCCCTCCTAAAATAGGCTCAGGTCAACAAATAAATATGTAAACTAAGCAAGCTAAGTTTCACATCTGCTGTTACTTTCGAAACTAAATAAGCTTAAACAAGTTCTGAAAACCTTAAAAAGAGGATACCAAAAGCAGCAACTGTTGTCTCTGCAATACAAGTTGTATGGAAACAGAAGAGCCCCAAGTAAAAGGATTAATGTTAAATACAGCTTTGCTGACTGCTCTGGTGATCCCACCTCAGACAGCACCTTTAAAAGCTCATTAACTCTGTGCAACTCACAGAAAGGGCCGTGACTTTATGGAGGAGACAGAGCAGTCCCTAGTTTTGAGAACTCTAACCCAGTAGAACATGCAAACTCCTGGGAGCAGGAGGCCCTTTTCCCCATGGTACTTACGTTAGCAATATCGTTTTCCGTGGCTCGGAAGGGCAGCCCTCTCATGTGAACAAAATGACCGCCACCATGGAACCCCGACCCTGCATCTCCAGTTCCATAGCCATGTCCTCCCATGCCTATTGGAAAACCCAAACCAAAAAAACCCACACACCTCTAAGATCATGTAAAGCCAAAAGTCATCACTATTGTTTTTCTGAAAGCACTGAATTATACCACTGAACGCTTGATATTTACACTTCCCATGTATCAACCCAAGCCTTAACCAGAAAGCATCCTAAGCCATTTATTTACCCTTTCTTACGAGTCCCCAATTCCCCCCTTTTTAAACAACCTTCTTTCTTTATAAAATAGCACAATGAAGCCATTTTTTTACTTGAAAATACTGTCTTACACTCACTTAATAGCAAAAGCTTTTTAAACAAACTGTTAATTTCTTTTACCTCTCCCATCCCTCATTCTGTCGTCATAGCCGTCGTTTCCATAACCATAGTTATTATAGCCACCATAATCATCAAAGCCACCATACCCTGTGCAAAGGAGAGACAGAAAGGAGCGATTACATTACTGCTCAGAACTCACAGAACCATGCACAACACTCAATTTTGCAGTCTTTAGGCACCCAGCACTTTGCCAACAGCCTCTATGGACTGTTAAACCTGGATTTCTGAACACAGTGCAAAAGTACATTTCTTTTTATATAACAGACTGAAACATGCAAATGAGAGATCATATTCTGCTGAAAGTAGTTTCCTTATTATTTACATTCATCTTAAATAACAAGCCGCATTTTTTGACACACTACGAGTTTTTTTGAGGTCAATACGTCCAACCTAATGGGTGTTGGCAGGTACTGCCATTTCTTGACAAGTATGTCAGAAACATGACACAACAGAACCTCTGTTCATTAGGTAAACATACCACCGTCATATCCACCACCTCCTCGACGCATTCTGTCATACATACTTCCACGCCCAGCTCCATAATAACCCCCTCTTCCTCCTAATGGTCTATCATATGGTCCAGGTCGCTGTTGTCCCATCATTCTTCTTGGCATGTCAGAGAATCCTCTGATTTCGCTCTTACTACTTTTGAAGATTTCAATATATCTAATAAAAAAGGATTTTCAAGGCACCAGTAAGAACACAGGCAGAAGCTGTCTGAATTTCACAAAAGGCCATACTACGTTTTCTATGACTAAAGGTACAAGCCAATGGCAGTGACTAGAGATACCATACAACTTAAGTTTCTCCTCAAAACCGTAAGAATCTTAAGTGTATTCGAAACCCCCACTTTACAGTGGCAAAAGTCACTATGTGAAAATTCTAGCTGTACAAATTAAGCTTAAAACATGTCTTTCCAGTATGAGAAACATACTATTGAAAAACAATGTCTGGCTATAGCAGCATTTATTGCAAATTACCCTACATGAGAACGATTGAAACAATTTTCTGAGTTCAGCAAACTACCCAGAGCAATACTGTCTCCCCCACCCCCCAAATCTACTGTATTTCCCAAATTAACTTAGGATCAGTTATAAAAATTCTTAAAAACAGCCAATTCCCCAATGGTCCCCAACCCCCCAAAAGCATTACTGACCCACAACCCCCAAAAAATAAAGATTTAACACCATCCCAAACTCTCCATCCCCACCTGTGCCCTATTCTTTCCTTGTGTTTCCCCAGAGCATTTTCTGCTATCTCCTTTGAAGCAAACTGCACGAAGGCCTCCCCTGTGCTTCTCCCCTGGTAGTCCAGCGTCAATGTTATCCCATTTGGCACGATTTCCAACCCTTTAACCCAAGGACAAATAACCCCGTCAAGGGGAACAGTGTTAAAGGCTGAAACATTCCCATCTGCAGCAAATACTTAAAGCATATCTAAACAACAACAACGAAAAAGAAAACCACCTTGTTTCCCCCATCACCCAACAATACAAGCCAATGATCTTTCATTAAACATTTATGGATTTAGCCATACTTCTTTTCTTGTTTAGACTATGCAAAAATAGAACCACCTAAGTTACATGAAGAAAATATTGCTACCCATCAAGCAGTTTAACTGATCCAAATGCTAACATTCAGGTTACCCCAATATGCAAAATATCTTTACCACCTCGACAAAATTAGATACATTCTGTGTTTTACTACATCTCTGGTTACTCGTGCTTCATTTACAGGGCAAAATTCTTACTTAAGACTAACTTAACACAATCCCTCCCATCCTCCCCATTACCCACTATTAAAAATGTGCAAAACATCGTGTAAAAGACACAAGAAAGCTCTAAAGAAACCCACTACACTTCGTCTATACTAGAGGTACCTTGGAAAAACTGAACAATCTCTTCTTTGCTGCAACCAAATGGCAGGCCCCGGAGTCGTACCACCGTCCCATCATTGGTTGTATCATTGGGCCCATTGTGTTTGCCACTCCAATCCATTTTTTATTTAAATCAAATCCTAGGAAAAACCGAAACAAAAAATAAAGAAAATTGAGATTCCCTCCATGCCTAAGTCCCTGCCCGCAAAGGAAATCCTTTCCTCAAAGGAAATCTGGCGGGTTTTCTCAGACAACAAGCGCTATGGATAACGAGCTCGATTTCTGTCATGTACGTAAAACTGTGCTCGCTGGCAGGCTTGCACACACGGACACCATCCCAGCGGGATGGAAGCCCGCGCACGGCGATGGCGGGCAGCACGTGGGCAGGCCCGGCACATAAAGCTCGGTATTT